GTGCTTTGTCAGTGATTGTCTTGACTACACTTTTTAAGGATGGAGAGCAAAAGGTTGGACTTTCTGCGGCTGTCCCTGTTTTGAATGGACTTCAGGAGAGCCTGGTTCTTTGAGAAATGTCCGTGTGTGGTGGTAGGAGCTGGGGGGGAAAAGCGTGGGAGAAAGAGTATCTGCACTGTCTTAATCAAGATATGTAGATGGGCAGGCACAGGTAGGCTCAGCGGAGCTACATTTATATGACCACACATACCGAATTTGCACAGGGGTGATTAAGTATATTCTTAGAGTTTCTGGGATGTTTATCCTGTGGTCCTAAATTCTTAAATTAATCTGACCTATTCGAAGGAACTTCTCTTCCTTGTAATGGCATAGAGTCTTGCCCGCACTTTCCCTGTCAATGTGCTTGTAGGTCATCAAGGTGTTAATTTTAATTGAGCCTATCTTTGCTCAGCCCCTTTCTCTGTGCTTCAAGGCATGGAGTTAGTTGTGGGCAATAACCTGCCCGTGTTTTAGCGGTTGATGGAGAGGTGCGTACACACCATGTATACAAGAGGAATTATTTTCTCTGTGGAGGTTGTAATGAGCCTGGTGAAGATTGTGTAGTCCCCACATTCATGTATCAAAATGAGTTTAGGCGACAAGTTCTCGATTCTTCTTTTGACTGAGAGTCACTTCTGCTACAAGACCATGAGCGAAGAGGTAATGCTGTACAGACTTGGGATTAGCAGTGGTTTCTCTGACATGCATAAGGAGGAATTCTTGGCTTTGGGAAACTGAGGACTTTGCGTATGCCATTGTTTTTTACTGCCAAGACATAAATGTAGAAAAGTCCGTGCTGTTTCAGGGTAAGTTAGGACCATCTAGAAATTGGTGACTGGCTGCGAGTTGCTATCTAATCAGCTTAATATTAACAAGTTAGCTTTTCATGTTGAGAAAATGATTTATAAGTAAATGGGATTTGTGGCTTACTATGGAATGACAGAACATGGTATTTTACCCAAAACAGCTGCTGATTTGGGGAGAGTATGGTCCATGTACCATATGAGGTGCCCCTGGTGCAAGGGGCCACTGCCTTTCTGGCAGATGGAGCACATGAGCAAATCAGCTGAAAGTCTACTGTGTGATAACTGTGTAGTTTGATTCAAGGATGAGGTCTGCAAAGCCTGCAATGGAAAGAGCTGGGACAGTAGGTAGTCAGGCCATCTACTGATGACTTGCTTGGACAAGCAGAGTTGTATTGTGTCCAGATGACATGCGTATTGATACTGTGTCTTTAGCCCCAGCAGTTCTTTAGGTACCCGATGTGTTTTCTGCCCTTGTTTAAGAAAAAGAGTGGAGGGACCTGGTAGGAGAAGGATGCAAGTGTGTTTGAAGAACCAGCTTAAGCCTATCCATGCCTGTGCCATCAGTCACTGCTGCCTCCTTTGTGCCAGCGCCAGTGAGCATGTGGCTACCTGGTTGGCTGAAACAGGAAGCTTGTCTCCTGAAAATTAATCATATCTTATCTAGAGTTAGTTTTCAGCTGGGTCACAAGTGCTAGTGATGGCTGGAAGGGATGGAATTGGATAGACTTGGGCTGGTTGAAGCTGCTCTCCTGGGTCCAGCACACACTTGGTGTGCAGAAGGTACGGCAATGTTTTTGACAAACCTATTTGAATGCTGGTGGGTCCAATGCTAGTTGTATGACAAGCACATGCTTCATGCTTTCATGGGAAAGGATGAGGAGGACAGCTTTTGCTAAGAGGTAGGGGCAGATTTAAAGGTGTTGTTAAAAGCCCTTAGTAGGGGCCATATCTAGAAATCTGGAGTCAGTCAAGGGATTGAAGAGTGTCCAGTGTCCCCGTATCCTCAAGTGCCACGGGGAGATGTGTGGGGTGTAGAATACTCATGCCAGTTTATCTATTTGCTTTTACTTTTATATGATCTTAAGGGATTCTGACGGTTCAATAAAAGCATTGAATAACACTTCCTGTGTCGTCCTTGTTTCCCAGTTGCACTCTTTATCAATGACGTGTGTAATCAAGTATTTTATTAAACAGTAGCTTATTAAAAAGTAACGTGCAGTTCAGCTGCAAGTGTCCGAAATAAGCAAGTGCTTAACAAAACTGGTAAGTGCAGCACACGGTGAAAACCAGTGGCAGCTCTTGGGGATGTCTTGGGTGTCGTGGAGTCACCTTTTGCCAGTGTAGCTGTTCTCCCTCTTATGTGGTTGAATGAGGGTCGGAGAAATAGGATGTGCCCTTCCCAGTAAAATTGTGCTGAAGGAGCGCGTCGGTTGATTCATTGCCTTACCCCATCTCTCCAGTCGCACAGGGAATCCACCGGTGGATGCACATGCGGAGGTTTGCTTCCTGGTGGCTGTCAGGATGAGCAGTTGCTCAAACAGCAACTCCTGCTGCTGCTGTTCTTGGTCCCTCCTGAAGCTGCTGCTCTTCCCGGAGCAGTCTCTTACTCCGCTCTCTTTCTTCTTTCTCTCCCGCTCCACTACCACAGCTACAATTCAGGGTGCTGGCTCAGCTTGCGTTCAAAGTCATCATTTGTTTTCTGTAGCAGCAGGTCCCTAGCCTTTTTTCTTTTTCCATGCTGACTTTGGGCTCTCGCCACCCTCAGTCCAGAACAGACTGACAGTCTCAGAAAGGCCGCAGGGAAAAAAGAAGTGTGCTCTTTCTTGTACACAGAGAAAGAGATTTCTTGCCTTTAATGCTCCGTGTCACAGTAAGGGCACAAGTTTGATACTTTTATCTACTTGGTATGCCTTTATTTCATCTCTCCACATTCTTCTTCTCAAAGAGGGAGAGAAGACTGAAGTGAATCAGTGATAACTGCGGCTGTTCCTGCGGAAGCAGCCATAATGCTGTACACCTTCTAGTATCTGACCACTTGTCACTATCAAGCTTCTGTGGTTTAAGGGCATAAAGGAGGAATAAGCTAGTTTGGACCTTTTTTCCCTTCTGTTTGCGGTACAATAATATGGTGGCTACTTCATAGAAGTGCAGGGATGGTTCATGAATAAGTTGCCAAAAAGTAAGCTAAGGTGTGCATTTGTGTCTTGTTAATTATTCTGTGGTAGCTGCTTGTGTATGTGCTCTCACCCTTTTGCTCTTAAATTCACCGTGAAGCAAGCTGTCTTGCGCCGACTGTGGGCTAGGACCGTGCAGGTGAGCAGCAGAGATGGTAAACTAGGGGATGGAATTACATTGCAATAACTTCGCTGGGTAGCCTTAAAGATGGATCGTGTCTGATCATTTGTGTCCCTCTTGCAGTCCTGAGCTATGGTCTGTAAGGCTGCCCTTGCTCCAGTGCTTTGCCAAGTTGAACTTGAATGTTTCAAGCAATAGAGCCCCAGTCATTTGCTGTGATAGATTCTCTGCATCCTGATGCGTGCTGGTGTTCACATGTTTTCCCTTTCAAGGGAAAAGGTGATTTTTGTTGCTGCTTTGATAGAGGTGTGTCAGTATTGGCACTGGCATGGCTTAGTCTGTATTGTTTCGTTGGGTGGGGTGGGGGAAAGGGGAGAGGAGATACAACTGGGTAATTGGATTCAGGGATGATTGTGCTGCTGTGGTAGGTTTTACTGGATGAAGCAGCTTGTTGCGATAGGTGTTTGTTTCAGCTTCTGTCTGCAGGTGTGACTTGGCTAGATAAGGATGGTCTATCATGTTGATGATTTCATTGTTTGATTTGGCTGGACTGGGTGGAGAATGTAGCTGCATTGTTTGGGACTAGCTTTGTAGTTTGGTTTTGTTGAAGTGGATTACATGGCAGCACATTGCTACATTATTAAGGTGAAGCTGCAGTAGATAATAGTTGGAGAATGTTGGAGGGAAGAGAATATGCACAGGGTTTCACAATGCGTAACTAATTGAGCCTCGTAACAGCTCCTGTGTTCCTGTTGGGAGATCTGGTCAGCAGAATGCATTGGGATTACACAGAAAACCTCTGGTAGTGATTTCAGTTTGCAGTCGTACTTTAACTGCAAGGCTGTCCATGCTGTGTAAATAGCTGAGAGTGTTCTGAGAGACCACGCTGGCCCCGACAGTGTGAGTGTTGTCTGGATTCATACTGTTCTTGCAGCCTCTCCAGTTTTCACAGTGGGTGAGGGAGAAGATGGCAGGTAGCTGCTCTGTCTTTCTCTACTGACCTCAAATTTACTATTGAGCTGTGCCTCAGAGTCCACGTTTCCTTGTATTACAGAACTTTCAGGCAGTTAAACTTGCTTTAACGTGTGAGTGAACATTAACTGATTCAGGGTTGTCTCCATTACTGAAAGTGGGGCTGATGGGTTTTTGGGCCATGAACTCTTTTGGCCTTATAGGATATAACCGTAGTGCAAGGTGGGGCTAACCCCTCTATCCTGAGCAAACTTGCAGTATGCCTTACTTGGGAAGGTTTGCAGTTGTATTCCCTTCTCCCTGTAGTGTAGCACAATGATGTGAAGTTGGAGGTGCCAGAACAGTATATAGTGCTTCTTCCCTCTAAAACCTGCCTGGTTTTCCCCTAGATATGGCTGAGCGATTGCCTGGCTTTACCTGATGCTTGATGTTTTTATTTATATGTTGTCTGGCTGTGGAGGAGGTTGTATATACGAAGCACAACTTGGCAGAAGTTGCTGGGCTCGTAATGAGGGGAAGGTGAGCTTTTGAAGAGAGATGGGTGCAGAGAAGGGGAGGTTACGTGTCCGAGCTTTGTGCCAGCTTCTCTAAGCACAGGTGGGCTCACGGGAATCCAGCTAGCTCAAATGTGGGAGTGCTAAAGCAGGTCTGACCTATTTCCCCTCCATGTGCAGCACTCCATCTTCAGACTCTTCCAGTCTGGTGGTGCCTTTTTTGGCGCTGACAAATCTTGCCAGTCTGAGCAGAGGCTTCCCCTTGTCAGTGGTTCAGAGCAAGTTTTGATTCCTCTGCTTCTGTGGCTGGATGTATGGGAGGGACGCACAGCTTGGCTGTGCATTCTTGCTGGTGAAACTCTTCCTCTCTCTCCTTTTTCCAGGTGATCTTTTCTTGTGAGACAAGTGGTTTGCAACTCATGGCCTCCACAATGAGTACTGCCGTGTCGTGACACCAGGGGTCTTGGTAAGCTACTCATTGGAAAGGCGAGGACCGTATCTCCGCAAATGTGGATCCATCTCTTTTGTCTCTGCGGTTGAGGTTTTAAGTCATTTTAAGCCATCCAAACTGTAAGCTGCAGCCAAGTGGGGTGAAGCTACTTTTCACCTGTTCTCACCTCTTCCTTTGAGCTCACAGTGGCACTGATGTGGTTACATGATCAACCAGATCAGGGGACTGATCCAGCTGAATAGATATTTCTGCTGTTTCCCTTGGGTTAGTTCCCAGTCAGATCTTTCCCCGATCTGGTCAGGAAGAGAGGTGGTGAGAATGAGCAGACAGTTGAACCATCCCTTTTCCCTGCAGCCATTGCCTGGTATACCTTAAAGCAATCCTGAAAATACAGCCTTCCATATAGCTTGCCAAAATGTCTTAAAAAGTGGCTTGACCATTCACTGTCATGACCCTACCTCTAATTTCAGAGCAGTGATAAAGTCTTTGCTGTGGCAGGCAGACTCCAGTTGCAAAAATACATTTCTCTAGACCTTTTCCATTATTGGACCCTAGATTCCCAGACATACGTATGTTAGAAGTGCATTCAGAAAAATCATGAGGCATTCCATTTCACATTATAAAAGATGGTACGTTCCCAGTGTGCAGAAATGAGAAGCGGAGGAAGTTGAGTTGCCGTTGTTCCACCAATGAATATATTGATGTATCCTTTATAGCTCTCTCTGGTAAGAAGAAATTTAAACCGAGATTGGAAAATACAGTTCCCTTGCAGAGTGTATCAATTCTAATAGATGGAAGATACATGTATATAGGATAATAAAAAAGTAGGGTTAAAAAATTGGAGACGTGTGTCCGTGTGTCCCCCCCCCCCCCGGGAAGTATTTGAAAGTTTGGTGATGTCAGAAATATTGTGCAGCCAGTGTGATCCTGATTCTGTTTTTCATGTTTTCTCATTGCACTGTGCAGACTGGGAGTCTGAGAAAATTCTCATCTTACAATAAAAGGTAACATGACAATGCATAAATATCAAAAGTGGAAAAGCAGAGGATGAAACAACTAGAATACTTAAGCTCATCACACAGGCAACCGCATCCTGCTTTTAGCATTGAGCTCTGCTCACTTTAATGCTATAATTTCTTTTTTCTTTTTTACCTGAAATTCACCGTGTTTTCAGTCACACCTTCACCTTAAGTGGGGACCCCGAAGTGTCAGTGATTTCCACTGACTTTTACAGATGCATAAATCTCTTTTCAAAAGTGGAGTTGGGTGCTATTGATAATGTTACGGTTTTGTTGTCAAAACAGACATAGGAGCCAAATTTGCATGCAAAGATGGTACAATTTAGATACTTGTGAAGATGTTCTCTCTTGTCTTTAATGTATCTGTATAGCACCAGCTCCCAATTACAGCATGATAGTAGTAAGAATAGTAATAGATTAACTCCAACATTGTTCTCAAAAGCAGTGGGATAACCAGGTGATAGCCCCAGAGAGGCATGTGGATCCTGTAGAGTCTGTGGCTCAGACTGGAGTTCATCTGATAGTGCCTAATAGGAGGCATTAAAAATGAGATCTTTATTGCAGAAACATTCCCCCACATTAATGGGTTTGTGCAGGACAGTGAAGGTGAGAATAGGGAGCAGGATGATTTCTCTGGGTCATGAAGGAGGCATGTGGTAGAGAGGAGAACCGTTGGAGGTGATGCAGAGCTTCACGGAACACCTGAAGTGTGGAGCCACTATCATGTTAAACTACAGCAGTGCAAAGTCACTAAAAAGTGTAATGACACAACCTCATAACACGATAAATTTGGGGAACTGGAAAACCATGGTGCTCGATACTACAAGTTACTGATAACTCTCCTTGGCCAGAGGTGGTCATATAGTGCCTGTGTTTCTTAATCCTCTGGTGTCAGCACGTAAGCAAACCAATTTTTGTTTTCTAAATGCAATTTGAACAGTAGTTTCTTCATAAAATTCAAGATACTCCCAGACTGGTGAGATTTATTTTGTTTCATTTGGTATACGCAGGAATAAACTGCTTCTTCAGTGCTGAGAAGGAATACTGGGAATATTTACATTTGAATAATATTTAACTAGCAATGCTTAATACATTAACAATAAATCTTGGTTAGATTCTAAATTAAGTGGATTTGCATCTGAGTAGGTGAGATGAACAGGAGAGATTTTGTTGAAACATAAACAAGACAGAAATTTGTTCCAAAATAATTTAGCCCAAAGGACGTAAACAGTAATGTTCAATAATTTCCTCCTCCAGAAACAGTTTTATGTGCCTTATTGCCTGCGTCATGCATATTGTTTCTTAGAAGGAAGCTGAAAAAGTGCTTATTTTTGTGTTTTTTATTTTTTTTTTTTTTTAAGTCTAAATAGTCTGTATAGTGTTGCCAAGCAAATTTAGAGGGGTAGTTCTCTAGTGATCTCTTGGCCTTTCTAATAGGTATGAGTGACTAACCTCTGGTATTTTCAGAGTAATCACAGCATAGCTGGTTGCTTACCATAGGTGGTCAGGAAGACATTATATTTTATTTTCCTCCCTTTGTGCAACCCTTAGCACACATCATTGAACATATGTCTAGTTATATTGGACCAAGGAGACAGAAAAGATTTGAGCAGAGTTTATGTTCTTAAGAAATATCAGATTATGGCCATTCACAGGGGAATTCTGGATAGCGAAGTCATGTTGGGGATTTGTAATTTTGGCTTCCTACTGACTTGCTGTGAGGTGTCTTCAAGCTGAGCACAGATGCGGAATCAAAGTGTCCAGATACAAGGCGCTTCCCTGTTTTGTTGACTCCAGAGTGATTTGCTTTGGATGAAAGGAAGATGGCCTCACTGCCTGTAAACTGAATGGCCAGCCAGGGCTGCCTCCAGTTTGAATTACACAGCTGTACTGAGCCATCTGAAAGCTCTCCTCCCGTGTCTTCTCAGTAATGGGGGAAGAGTTCCCATTTACTGCTTCACACCAGACACATCTGCTTGGAAAGTTCCTCACTGGTTTTGTGTTCTCTTCTTGTGGGGTGGTTTTAACAGTGTGTCCTGGAGATGCGAGACTTCCCCTGGGCAGCAGGAGGCACGCGTCTAGAGAATGCTGGAGCTGCAGGAGGGAAGCGCCCAGTGCAAAACCAGAGAGGAGCAAAGAGAAAAAAGGCAAGCGGACAGCCAGCATTGAGAGAAGCGGGTGGCAGAAAGTGCTTCGACGCTGCCTCTGGCGGCACGCTCCCCAGAGGAACTTGACGAGAGCCCATCTGCGTGCGTGTGAGACTGTGAGCTCAGGATTTCTGTCAATGCATTCCAGTAACCCCAAAGTGAGGAACTCCCCGTCAGGCAACACACAGAGGTAAGGAAAAGACCCTGCAGTCAGCTGCTCTGGATTGGTGCATGGTGCTATCCCAGCTCTGCTGCAGGATTAGCCAAGGACTGGTGCGTGTGACTTACTGGTCCTTCTTTGTGCTCCCATTGGATCTGCCGAGTACCTGAGCACTGGCTGCACAGTGCTGACGAGCCTCCACGTTTGCTAGGCTCAGGATGAGCTGAAAGCTGTAAATCTATGAGGTGCGGATTCTACATTCCTCATGTCCTCCTCCCTCCCATCAGGTGTCTGAATAGTCTGTAGGAGAGTAAACATGCTGTTTCTATCTGTTTTGCTTTTTTTTTCCCTCTTCCCCCTCTTCTAATTAACCGTTTCCCTAACGGGCAGTTGGGCAGCAGAAGGTCTCTCTGTCTGTACTTTCACACAAAACGCCTCCTCTGTATTATTGGCCTGAACAGCCTGGAGAACTGATCAGCTGTGCACTGAGATCCTCTGCATCATTCACCTGCCAGTGCAGCAGGTCAGCATCTCTCCTCTGCTAATTTGGAAGGGGAAAAATATGGAAGCAAAGCACTGTTCAGGGACTTAAAATGGTCTGACTGACAGCATTCTCGAGTTTGATTATTTACTCCTAGAGGTCATCTGGAGCTTAAGAGTAATTCAGAGGGAATGCCTCTGGGTCAGATGCCTGTCCAAAGGAGGAAACGGCTTGTGCGAGTCCCACAGTGAGGATGCTAGCAAGCGCTGCCTGTTGGAAGTGGCAGTGGTGATAGGAAAACACGATGCAGAAGATCCGATAGCAGTGGAGTAACTGGAGGGTGAGGAGGAAGGTGTGGCTAATATGTGTGTAAAACCCAGAGGAACAAAATATTTTTAGGATGCAATTTGCTGAATGGAAGAGGGAAGGAAAGACCCTGAATTTCCCTTGGCAAATTAAAGAAGCTTCATCTGCCCCATTTTGCAGGAGTGTGCAGGGAGATGGTATCCTTCTCTTTCCTTATTCAGAGGCAGGTTGTAGCTGGTTTAATTGTTTTCATGGTCAGAGGTTTGTGTTTTCCTGGCAGCTTGCCCCAATGTATGATGAATGCTGCAGTAATGCTGGGTTTTCCTTGTGCTCCCTGTAGAACTGGATAGGGAGGTGCAAAGGCAGGGGGCGGGGGGGGTCTACTCTGATCGGAGCTGCAGTGTATAGTTGGGGTCCAGGAGAGTGGTGAGGTGAACTTTATTGTGCCTTGTTTGTTTACTCTGAGCTGGTCTTGGTGTGAGGCGCTTCTCTGTGCACATAGAAACCGTTGTCTTTATTGACAGAAGCCCCAGAGGTAGGTCCTCATGTGACAGCAGTTCCTGGGATCTGGCAGGTCTGTAGCCTGCCCTAGTGCCTTCTTGAGCAATGAGATCCCATCTTGGATAATAACTCTTTCAGGGCATGTTCAAAAAAGCACCTGCATGACTCTCAGCTTGCAGGCATTTTTTATTTGTCAGCAATTGTCTTAGCTTGCAAAGGTGGCAGTGGTTGTTTCTGCTTCTCTCTAATCTGTTCCTACAGGTTGAATGAATCCATGGTGTGATTTTTCACTTTTTTTTTCTCTTCCTTTTCTTACTCTGTCCCCAGTAGCCCCAAATCAAAGCAGGAGGTGATGGTCCGTCCCCCTACAGTGATGTCCCCGTCTGGCAACCCCCAGCTGGATTCCAAATTTTCCAACCAGGGTAAACAAGGGGGCTCCACCAGCCAATCCCAGCCCTCTCCCTGTGACCCCAAAAGTGGAGGTCACCCCCCCAAAGTGCTCCCTGGCCCAGGTGGGAGCATGGGGCTGAAGAATGGGGCTGGAAATGGTGCCAAGGGGAAAGGGAAGAGAGAGAGGAGCATTTCGGCAGACTCCTTTGAACAGAGGGAAGCTGGGACTCCTAATGATGACCCTGAAATCAAAGGTATGTTTGCTAGGATTCATGCGCAAGAGCAGACAATTAGTCTGAGTCCTCTGTGAGATGGAGAATCGCTATGCAAGTGTTAGCAAAACATTTATTTGTCTGGGGTTCTGTAAGTTCCAGCCAACGAAGTCTAAAGGTCTTGAGAGCAGGCGAAGAGGAGAGGTTGTCATAGCTGGCATCGGTAAATGTCCTGTTCACGCTCCGTTAAAGTGCAGACCTGACTCTGGTGGGAAAGTTCCTTTGTAACTCTGAAACTCCCCCAGAGGATTTGAAAGTACAAATGCAACCTGTTGGTTTCCTTCTGGCCTTTGGCCTTTCAGGAACTGTTCTGTTGTAACTGGGGTTTTGAACAATATGCAAGCCTGTTTTGTCAACACAGATACATAACCTGTAGCACCCTGGCTGGTAACACAAGCCAGAGAGTTGGGATTTCTGTGTTCTGTTCCTGGCTCCAATATTGCCTCTGTGAGGCAGTGCAAAACCAGACTGGATGTGCAGTTGTCCATCTTTCCTATGTTGTCCATTTTCTAGGTCACCTGGCTAAGGTGGCTGAAGGGGGGGGAAAAGTAAAGTTTTGCACAGTGTTGTCCTTGGGTGCAGACCTATTTATATTTGTTCATTTTAGTGTGTGGTTTTCCTGCTGTTCTGTGTGGCCATTAGAGAATTCAAAGGGATCAGCTCTGGGAACTGCCACTTGCCTTGGAAAGGGACAAGATGAGCTTCCTCCCAGTGGTGCCTGAAGGGCAGCATGGCATTAGAGGGAAGATGCATGGTGTAATAGAAGAATTGCTTTTAGTAGTGCCTGAGGGAGAAGTGGGAAACTTCAGAGGAGGAAAAGCTCTGGTCAGTTTCCAGAAATGGTTTCCAATGAGCTCCCAAGGTAGTGATTCCCCTCTTTTCCTCTTTTTCCCCTTCCAGACTGCAATTCTGCTGATCATGTGAAGTCCCAGGATTCTCAGCACACACCACACTCCATGACTCCTTCAAATGCTTCAGCCCCAAGGTCTTCCACGCCTTCCCATGGCCTGACTGCTGCTTTGGAGCCAGCGAGTGGGCAGAAGACTCCATCCAAAGTGGTTTACGTTTTTTCTACTGAGATGGCCAACAAGTAAGTAGGTAGATGCTTGAATGTCTTCAGGGAGTGGGGCTTATATTTGTGCTCCCTTTTTAAGAGATTCTCAAGTGCACTTTCTCCTTCAAGTGCATTCTTGTAGCAAAAAGTCATTACTTGTTTTGGGGATGCTGAAGGGGCCGGAATGGAGAACGTTGCTATCTCTTGCCCTCTGAGAAGTGATTATTTATTCCTCCGAGGTGTGGGGTTTTTGGCAAATGCTGGTAGATACTGTTTTGCAATCCATGCGGTGAGTAGCAGCCAGGATGGCTTAAACCGAGACATGAACCCTGAATGCTGATCAGTTTGTAGATGTAAGCATTTTTCTTTTGCTACTTCTTTTGCTAGAGTGAAATAAGTCTCTCTCCCTTCTGCCAGCTGAAGGATAGAAGGGAGGGTGGTTAAGAAAAATCGATTCTTATCTTCAGCTGGATATGTGCATCTGTCTGTCTTTTCAGGGCTGCAGAAGCTGTGCTGAAGGGACAGGTGGAAACCATCGTGTCCTTTCATATCCAGAACATCTCAAACAGCAAGGCGGAACGAAACACTGTACCCTTGGTAGGGAATACCTGCATGTGGGTGGGAAGGGAAATGGTAAATGTGCTTGTGTGTGTCATTGAGAGGTGGATGATTATTTACACACTGAAATTCGTTTTAGAGTGGAAAAGAGAGAGACGGTTGTTGTCCTAGCCTTCTGCAAATAAATGTCTTGGATCATCCAAAGAAGAGCTTGAGCCTTGCAATATTTGGGTAGTATATTTCCAACCCATTGCTCATGCAGAGCTAGCACAGAAGCAAGGGGTACCTGCTGTAATACTTGAGCAAAATATGTTTCTGCATGGCCAAGATGCTGCTCTGTAATCACTGCATGAAGGCTACCCTTCCTTGCAAACTGTGGGCTGGTGGTGTTGAGACAGGACATTTTGTTTGCACCTCTGCTTATGTGACACGGCTGTAAGATGGATGAGTGACAACGTGTGGCTTTCTCTTGCAGAACCCCCAGATCACTGCACTTCGGACTGAACCCAAGCCCCTGCCGCAGTCGCAGCCCCCTGCCTCCCAGGACCAGAACCCTCCCCAGAACGCCAAAATGCAGCCGACTCCGCCCGTGTCAGCGCCAGTATCCAAATCCACTGGCCCCCCGTGCCCCATAGATCAGGACAGTCCCAGTGTGGAAAGCAAAGTGATGTCTGTGGGCAGCCCTGCCAACTCTACCCCGTTGCAGACAGAAGGATTTGGGCAGAGTTCGACCCCCAATAATCGAGCAGTTAGCCCAGTTTCCCAAGGTAGCAATAGCTCCGCTGCAGAGCCCAAAGGTCCTCCCCAGCAGGTGTCTGGTGGGGACCCATCCAATTTGGGCGAGAATCCAGATGGACTGTCACAGGAGCAGCTGGAGCATCGAGAGCGCTCGTTGCAGACCCTGAGAGACATACAGCGCATGCTCTTCCCTGATGAGAAGGAGTTTGCGGGAGGGCAAAGCGGGGGACCACCCCCAAATGCTGGGGTGCTGGATGGTCCCCAAAAGAAACCTGAAGGGCCGATACAGGCCATGATGGCTCAATCCCAAAGTTTAGGCAAAGGGTCAGGGTCTCGGACAGATGGAGGGGCTCCGTTTGGCCCTCAAGGACACAGGGACATGCCCTTTTCCCCAGATGAAATGGGGCCACCACCAATGAACTCCCAGTCAGGACCCATAGGCCCAGACCACCTGGACCATATGACTCCCGAGCAGGTGGCCTGGCTCAAGCTGCAGCAGGAGTTTTACGAGGAGAAGAGAAGAAAGCAAGAGCAGGTGGTTGTGCAGCAGTGTTCCCTGCAGGACATGATGGTCCATCAGCACGGGCCTCGTGGGGTGGTCCGAGGCCCTCCCCCTCCCTACCAGATGACCCCTGGGGAAGGCTGGGGACCTGGGGGTCCAGAGCCCTTCCCTGAAGGCATGAACATGTCACACACTCTGCCCCCCAGGGGCATGGCCCCTCATCCCAACATGCCCGGGAGCCAGATGCGCCTGCCTGGTTTTGCAGGAATGATGAACCCTGACATGGAGGGCCCCAGTGTCCCGAACCCTGCCTCCCGGCCTGGGCTTTCGGGAGTTAGTTGGCCAGATGACGTGCCAAAAATCCCAGACGGCCGAAACTTCCCTCCTGGCCAGGGTGTCTTCAGTGGCCCTGGCCGAGGGGAGCGGTTCCCCAATCCGCAGGGCCTGCCCGAAGAGCTCTATCAGCAGCAGCTGGCTGAGAAACAGATGGGCCTCCCTCCTGGCCTGAACATGGAAGGCATCAGGCCCGGCATGGAGATAAACAGAATGATGCCCTCCCAGAGACACATGGAGCCTGGGAACAACCCCATCTTCCCTCGCATGCCGGTGGAAGGGCCGATGAGCCCCTCCAGGGGGGACTTCCCAAAAGGAATGCCCCCACAAATGGCCTCTAGCAGGGAGCTGGAGTTCGGGATGGGCCCTGGCAGCATGAAGGGGGACATGGGCATGAATGTCAGCATGGGCTCCAACCCACCCCTGGTCCCTCAGAAGCTGAGGGAGGCAGGAGTGGGGCCGGAAGAGATGATGAAACTGCGCCCCGGCGTCTCGGAGATGCTCTCCTCTCAGCAGAAAATGGTGCCGCTGCCGTTTGGGGAGCACCCGCAGCAGGAGTATGGCATGGGTCCCAGGCCTTTCCTTCCCATGTCTCAGGGCCCAGGAGTCGGTCTCCGAAATCTCAGAGAACAGATCGGGCCTGACCAAAGGACTAACAACCGGCTCAGCCACATGCCGCCACTACCTCTCAATCCCACCAGTAACCCTAATAGCCTCAACACTGCTCCCCCTGCGCAGCGCAGCCTCGGCCGCAAGCCCTTGGATATCTCTGCAGCCGGTCAGGTGCATTCGCCAGGAATCAACCCCCTGAAATCCCCCACGATGCGCCAGGTCCAGTCTCCCATGATGGGGTCTCCCTCGGGGAACCTCAAGTCCCCTCAGCCCCTCACGCCCCCCCAGCCCCCCCCCCGGCGGGCAGAAATGCTGGCGGCCCCCCCGGCCGCAGCTGCCGCTGCCTCCATTAAGTCCCCCCCTGTCTTGGGGTCTGCTGCTGCTTCTCCTGTCCACCTCAAGTCTCCATCTCTCCCCGCACCTTCTCCCGGATGGACTTCGTCTCCAAAGCCTCCTCTGCAGAGCCCTGGGATTCCCCCGAACCACAAGGCATCTCTCACCATGTCTTCTCCAGCCATGCTGGGGAGCGTGGAGTCGGGTGAGTGCTGCCTCTGCTAGCTGGACTTGGCTCTTCGGTTCATGTCGGGTTACCCTGAGGTGTGCAGCAAGGGGAGGGGGAGGAGGTTTCTTGCAGGGTGGCAGTGCCGCAAGGCTAGGCAGTGCTTGGCCCAAGGGTCTGGTTGGTGGCTACACGAGTAGAGTGCAAGCGCTTTTCCTCCTCCGGCTGTATTTGGGTTTGCACCGTGCCCGCTGTGTGTTGGGGTGAGGGCTGGTCACTTGGAGGACATGGAAGTGAAAGGGTGGGGTCAAGAGGTGGGAAAAGAAGTGGAGTGTTGATGGGAGAAATTGGGGGTGGGGTTTGGCTGTTCTGCCACAGCTCCTGGTGGCTGTAGCTTTGTGGAGAAGTTCCTGCT